CACACATTACACACACACACACACACACACACACACACTTTGAGATAGTCTATGGAGGACAAGATCAAACTCACTCTGCCTTGTTTGCACAACCTGGAGCTTGATGGATTGTCTAAAGCACTGGGAAAGGAATCCCTCCTCTGTTCAATCCCACAGTCTAGACATTTGCTCAAATAAAACCTGGAAAATGTCTATCTAGATAACTGGGAAAGCTGTTGTGCAGACAGGTTGACACAAACACTGTCAGTGGCGTCATGCATTTGTGTACTTCCGAAGTGTAGGAGCAGGCACGGGGAGGCAGCAGCTCCTGGTGTTCAACCTTCTTGAAGCCATGAAAAGTTAAGACTGAGAAACTCTGGCTCTAAAGAGGAGCATGCTTGTGCTTACCAGCATTAAAAATCAATTTCACACCTGACAAATAAGTACCCTGACCTGATTTCATTGGCGAGATTCGCATGAGCCTTCTCCTTCGAAGGCCACGTCTATCTCTCAAAGGTAAAGATGTGCATGTCTTGCTATCTCAACAGTTAGTTCACATAGAAGAAGGAATACAGAGAGGACACAGGCTTTAGAGCCAAGAGCACCTGGGCTGTCATTTGAACTCTGCCCTGCGTGTCCTGTATAACTCAAGCAAGTTATTACCATCTTGATTTTCCCAGCTGGGAAATGTAAATAGCGTTAATGGTAACTTCGTCAAGGTCAGTTGAAGTATTAAAGGAGACAATGCATGCCTTTACCAGTGCTTTCATGACATAAATGGTGAAAAAGATCCTGAAACACTTTTCTGCTTAAACATCTCACTTTCAGTTATCAGTGTGTGTGTGTGTGACTCAATATGTTGCTGAACTAATAAATCTAATAATGAATTACAATAATGAATTCTCCCTTTCTCCCCAGGAAGGTCAATACTCACACATTTAGTAACCAACTGGCTAAGTATCCGAGGATGACCTTGAACCCCTGATCTTCCTCCTGTCACCTCCTGAGTGCTGGGACACCAGGCATGCACTATCACACCTCCATCATGCAGTGTTGGAGATCTATCCCAGGGCTTCATGAATTCTAGGAAGACCCTCTATGGAGTATGTCTCATACCCAGCCTGTTTTCTATTATTTCTACCACTAACACCAAAGCCAAGCACAGGGTAAGCAATGCTGTGCATGGGTGTGCCTGGACACCTCATGCTTGCAGCCTTCTTTTGTTTGTATATAGGAGAGGAGATACAGAGTCATTCAGCAGCTTTACATGTAACTCCTGGCCAAAAACCGCTTGTGTGTTCTCCAGTGGCGACACAGTTTTACCCACGGGCTGAGGCTCCGTTTCCCCCCCCCACTCTAATGAATGCTTCTATTCTGTCTTTTTTAAATTACAGTCCACATGCTGTGTCCACATGTGTGAAGTAGGATCGCCTTGTGAGTTTCATTTCTTACTAAGTAACAATGCTAAGTGTTTCTTAATGTGCTTATGACTATCTGTGTATAATCTTTGGAAAAAATGTAGAAAATTTTTACCTTCCTTAGCATAGAGTCCTGTCCTTTGGCTGTAAGTTGTAAAAGTCATTTGCTTATTCTGTGATAATTTTATTCTGTATAGATTCTTCTGTTTTTTGATCTTTTGATTTTGGGGGGGATTTCACATTATATACCCCATTCCCACTCATTTCCCAGTCTTTCCATGTCTGCCCTCCACTCTTGTAGCCTCCCCGCAAAAGAAAATAAAACAAACAAATGAACAAAAACAAAACAAAACAAAAAAACAGAAAGACATTTTGCTCCTCCATCTTTCCCACCTCTCCATCACATATCCATTGGTCATAGTGACACTGGAGTTGTGGTGTGTCACACAGTACACCCTTTTGCTCAAACATCTTTACTTGCAAATGTTCATTGCAATGAGTTGGGCCAGGTTCAAGGCTTCTGGCTTCTGGTACACCATCAATACTGGACCCTCACGAAAACTCCTCTTGGATATCCTGCTGTTGCCCCGAGTAGTGGAGACCCTGTGGCTATGGTTCTGCAGGACTGGTCCCTTCATGTGCTCTAGCAAGTCATATATGTGGGGATGGGAGAAGTCTTGGGTGAGCGTCTGGGTGGTATCTGAGTTGGTCAGTCTGGGCCTTCACCAGGACGGCCCCCTCAGACAATGATCAGAGCCAGCTCTCCTACCCTATGCCATTGGGGCCAGTTCTCCCAAGAGCATGGTGAGGGGTGGAGCCAACTCTCCCATAGTGTCAGTCATAGTAGGACCACAGACCCAGACATGGCCCTTGGCAGCATCTCGGGCTCAGATGTCACTCAGGCCACTCAGATTAGTATGGCCCTGGTGATGTCATGGCCCTCAGACACCAACGTGACCTCATGTGGCAGCCTAGACCCCAGTCATCTGTATGGCCATTGGTGATAACACATACCACAGACATCAACACATACCCCAACTGCAGTAAGGCCAGGATCCACACACGGTCCTCTGCAACAGCACAGGATCAGACATTACATGGCCCTAGGTGGCAGCTTGGGCCATGCACATCAGCCGTTCCTTCTCATCTTCGGTTCCACTTCTCCCCACAGTGCACAAACCGCTCTGCTTCTCCTCTCCCGTTTCTCCATCACATACCTGCTCATCATGTGGAGCCTGACCGCCCGCCCGAAGCACTGGGCTGGCATGTTCCTGTCTTCTGCAGGGGTTGGGCTTGATAGCTCTTTTCAAATATTCTCTCTCTCTCTCTCTCTCTCTCTCTCTCTCTCTCTCTCTCTCTCTCTCTCTCTCTCTGGTTTTTCAAGACAGGGTTTCTCTGTGGCTTTGGATGTCTCTCTGTTTCTATGGGCCATATTTTCAATTTCTTCATCTTTAAGAGAGCTCCAGAGAGTATACAAGTTTTTTATTTTGATAAGGCTCAATAATTTTATGTCTGGTTTCTTAGGCTTTAAGTGTCATAACTCAAAAAAGAAAAATAAAAGGGAGAGGACAAATCCATGTTCATGACTCTTAGGGGTCACGAGAGATACAGCAGCTGTTAACTAGTGTTTAACAGGTTGACCCACCAAAAGCATGATTCTTGGTAGGTAACCCCACTTGTCAGATATGGGGCCACTGGCTGTGGAAACCAGTTGATCCTCCTGTCCTATTGTTACTATGAGTCACTTCATTCTTCCCTAAGAGCTTCTTTTCTTCCCTAGGAATAGCTTTGGGTGTTTCTCACTGCTTGTGTGTTTATCTCATGAAAATATTCCATGTTCTGGGCACATATACTTGTGGATGGTCTAGGAGATGACTTTTCATTTAGCTATATAATTTTGATACATAGAACCTATATTGAGACATGCATCATAACTGGATCTATTGGTCCCACTAGGACTGTGGACTATTAACAGCCTGTCTTGTTCTCTTGCTCAGGTTAACTGCACACAATTATTTCATTTTCACCTCAGAGCAAGTTCAAACTAGAACAAAGGCCTTTTGTAAGTATGTTGTAAGTTTAAAACCTTACAGCTATGTACAAGCTAAGAGTCGCTGATGTCCAACCAAGATTTCTAAGAAAAGCATGCCAATTCTTCACTTGCCAGTCTACTAACAATAGATGTGTCTTAAAGATTGTCACTGGGCACCGTGCCCTCCCTGTCTGGTTAAGGTTTTGCTTCTATGGCCTTGGTCCCTTGTGTTGCTGTGGTAAATGACTCAGCTCCTTATCTCTTGCTCTAGGAATATGATTTTGACTAATAAAAGAAATTTCTTTATCACTTGAAGGCTCCCGAAGGAGAAGAGCTTTTAGAATAGAAGAAGCAGGGAGAAGTTAGAAGTAGGACAGAAGTATTAGCGTAGAAACAGAGCAATAAGGAGCATATTAGATAAAGACCATGACCCTAAGATTGTGTGTGAAGTTACTATAGAAATCTTTTACCCCCTCCTTCCCTCCTGAGAAGCATTTTACCTTTGGGACCCTGGGTAGGGGATGGAGCTGGTCTTTTAGCCATTACACATGACTAATCCAAGACAAGTTTCTTCTAAACATTTTAATTGGGTCTTATTTAGGATTCAGCTTTATTCTTTCATGTGTAGACAACCAGTTGTCCCAATACTATTTATTGTTTGAGAAGAAAATGCTTTCTCCACTGAAATTGTTCAGACATTATTGGACATCAATCGCTATGTGTATACAATGATTAATTTCTGGACTCTCAGGGTTTTTGCCAATTACATGTTTACTTGGTCTGCATCTGTGTATACATGCGTTTGCATGTACATATGTATATGTGTGTGATTGCATGTGGAGGCCTGGAGTGGACATCGAGAATCATCCTTGATCCCTTATCCAGCTTATTGTCAGGGTCTCTCAGTGAAATTCAGAGCTTGCCAATAAATTTCCCTAGCCAGCTTGCTCTGGCCTGCTCTGCCTTCCTAGGCTTCAAGTGCTGAGTCCACCCAGCATTTATGTGGGTCCTAGGAATCTGACCCTTGATCTCCAGCCTTGTCCAAGAAGTGCTTCACCACTGAGCTGTCTCCTTAGCCCAGATTCTGTTTTATTGTGTTGGACTGAATGTAGTCCTTGCTGTGATGTCACACTGTCTTTGCTACCATGGCTCTTCACTAAGTTTTTTAATTAGAGATCACAATTCTTCCCACTTTATTAAGACTGATGTGGCTTTCTTGGATACCTCACAACTTCATATGCTTGCTAGGAACAGTTTGTCAACTTGTCCTCCCCCATCCAAAATAAATGAATAAATGAAAGGAAGGAAAAGAAGGCTGGGATTTGGGTGAGAACTATGTTGCATCTGTTGATGGGTTTGTGGACTATTCCCATCCTGTCAAAATGGGCTTACATCATGCTGAGCCAAAAGGCAGAGGGATGCCCTACACTTTAACTTTCTTTACCAAGTCTACGGCCATACCACCCTGAACGCGCCCGATCTCGGAAACTTTCTTTACCAAGACATTAGATTTTCTTGAACAAATCTTCCTCTATTTCTATAGGCCCCTAAGACAGTTCCAAGAGACTTACATTTTTTTAGATAGCTTTCAACAATTACTGTTCTTTCTCCAGAGCAGACTCCACGGGGCTGTTGATAACTGCAATCTGGAAAGTCTTGGAAACCTTTTCTTAAGAACAATGGCGAGATCTGTTTCATGTTTCAGATATTCACAAAGGCTGTAGAGAAGGAAAAACACCAATGAAGCAATCACTGGGCAAGTTAATTATGTGTGGGATTTGAGGAGAATTGTGGACACACACTTGGTATTGTATTTCTAAAAATATGTAGCCTCATTTCATTAGCACATCTCTGTTATTCCAGGAACCTTGGGGTATCATTAGACCAGATTGCTATAATAACATCAACCAACATTTGTGTGACACTTAACACTGTTAGTTTTTCATTTGCATAATCTTATAGTAGTTGGATGGGGATGAACTTGTTCATGATGGAACTCTCGACTCTTATCATCTTCACCTCATCTTTCCTTTCTGTTGTGTTTGGCATAAAGAATTGAGGGAAGGGAATTTAAGCCCCACCAGAGAAGAAATGTTAGGCTGTAATCCACTCAATAATTTCCCTTCATAAAGCCTCGGTTTCTTCACATCTATTAAGGGTATATAATATGCGTGACAGAGTATGTATTATTTATTCATATTGTACTTAGATTCAAAAATAATGGAAGGTACATTTCAAAAAACCCACCCAGCAAGAGAAACTAAATAAGAATGAGAAAGAGACAAAGAGGAATGTCAGTGTTGAAAAATAAGGTGGTGCACCTGGGACCTCTGGTTGCACCGCAGAAAGCCGTGTTTCCAGGGAGATTCCTCAGTCCTGCACAAACGCCCTCCTAACAGCAGCAGTTACCACTGACTTCTTCCAATATGCCAAGCCAGCTCTAAGCACTTTACTCTTACAACAGTCCTATCTGCTAATTCATTATGATTTTTAATCATATTACAGAACAAGACTGAAATACAACAGCCTCAAGTAACTTGCCCAAGTCCCTGAGGTGGTCATTTGATGAAGCTTGAACTCAAAAGACCTACAAACGCAGAACTGGGTCCTTCAACAGAAGTCCCCAGATATACGAGCATTCCCACATATGTACTATTAACCAAATATTGCAAAAGAAATATTATTGTTTACATAATCTGTCCTGTGTATTAACAAAACCATTTTCTTATAAATATCAACCTTTCAAACATGTGCCCACGACTTCCTCTACACAGGCACAGTTCTGGGTCCTACGATACAACAATGTCTAAAACAGGTGCAGCAGGTGCCCTTGTAGGGAAATGTGCATTAGAAGCAAATTTGTGTTCCAGGAAGAAGGTGGCAAGAAGATGACTGTTACTAGGGGCTCCATAATTTTTAACTGGAGCTTTGAGAAAAGATTTCAGTGAGAGTGAGACTGGCTGAGAGATAGCCTCATGACCACCTAAGGAAGGAATGCTTTAGGTAGGAGGAATCATGGGCAAAGAGGCTGCCTTGGAAGGGGCTTGGTATGTCTGAGGCATAACAAATCAAATAAGTGCAAGGAAAACACTAAGAACACCGTGCTGGCTAATTTGCGTTGCAAACTTCACTGGATGAAGGCCATTAATGAATTACAACTTTGGATTTGTCTATGAGAGTGTTCCAGAGAGAGTTAATTAGAGAGGAGAGAGACCCATCCTGTATGCAGAAGTAACTACCACACAGTTTTGGGACCTCAAATTTGTAAGAGAGGGGAAAGGAGAAAAGTTTAATAAGGAATTCCCTTTGCTGCATTTTCTCATCCACCAGGATGTGAGCAAGATGCCTCATGCTCCTGATGATGACACCAAGAGAGCCATTTGTGCATTTGCCTTCTCTGCCATGATGGCAGTGTCTCCCCAACCATAAGTCAAATAAATCATTCCTCCCTTAAGTGGCATCTGACCACTAATTTGTTCTCAATAATGAGATGATGAGTGAACACAGAACTGGGATAATGTTATATCTTAATGGGCAAAACATGAAATGATGTCAGGTGCAGACTTTGGTGTTTGTTGCGGGTGAAGTCAAGACTTCGGCAAATGATTGACATGACATGTCCCATATTTTGAAATGACTTCTGTTTGATGTGCTGAAACTGATTTTAAGAAGGAAAAGGGAACCAGAGAAATTTGGGAAGAGGTTATATTAGTTTTCCAGGGAGAGGGGAGTGTGTTTAGCTCATGATGTAGCAGGAGGGTTAATGAGAGAGAACATGTCATTATAGTGTTGAGGTTAGTTCTGTAAGAATTTGATGACTTACACACAGAAAGAAGGAAAGGAGATCACAGGGAAGACTCCAATATATTGACAAGCTTAAAAGACAGGGCTGTCATTAACTGCAGAATTAGTCTGTGGGTTAAGAAGTTCACTTCTGGATAATGTAAGTTTAAGTCATTAGATTACAGCTAGGGGGATTTAATAAGCCCTTAGAAGTATGATTCCAGGGAGAGGTTTGAGGCTGGAAATTTTAAAATGATCATCTTATAAATTATTTTTAAGGTTACAAGACTCAGTAAGTGCCTGGGAATGAATGTAAATTTAAGGAGAAGCCAACTTGAGCCATAGGGCTCTCCTGTATGAAGACTTGTGGGACAATGGGAAATCTATTTTGAAGGATTTTCTTTTAGAGGAAGGAGTGGATGTGGTAGGGAGACATTGAGATGACCATGATGGAGAGCCAGGAAGAAATACTATCAGGGAGAAGAGAGCAGCTAGCAAACACTGTTGGTGATCAGGACGCATAGGACTGAGAGTTAGCCATCGGCACATGGAGGTCACTGTAATCTTGACATGAACATTTTCTGGACATCTGGGCTTGCACTCCAATGCCTGGGGATTGCCTGCAGACTGCCACAGAGCTTCCCATCCCAAGGGGAGTAATGCACCCCAGATCCCAGGTCTTCTCTACCACCAATGAGACCAGGGGACCAGCATGTCCAGGTAAAAAAGGCCCCACATCCAGGTCTGCCTTCCAGTGCCTGGGGACTGCCTACTGACTGCCACAGAGGCTTCTATTCCGGCGGGAGCCAAGCACCCCAGATCCCAGGTCTTCTTCTCCACCAATGGGACCAGGGGACCTGGTGGGAGACTACACACCACACCCCAGATTCCTGGGCTTCTTCTCCACCCATGGGACCAGGACTAGGGCAAGGAATAGAAGAACTACCAGAGTATTGGACTTGCTTGCACCCACCGAAAGGGAACTCTGGTTCCCTAACCACCAGACCAGCAAGGGGCTCTTTCTGCACCCACTAGAAGAAGAGATGGGAAAGAGACAAAACAAAAACACACTCAACAACAGAAAAACAAATATGACACCACCAGATTCTAGAGACTCCACACCAGCAAGACTCCAACATTCCAATGCAATTGAAGCAGAGAGAATGACCTTAAAAACAACTTCATAAAAATGATAGAGGCCCTAAAAGAGGATATAGGAAAATCCCTCAAAGAAATGGAAGAAAAAGCAATCCAAAAAATGCAAGAAATGGAAGAAAAAACAAACCAAAAAATTCATAAAATTCAACAAATGGACAAAAAGACCAAGCAAAAATTGCAAGAAACAATTCAAGCGGTGCAAGCATTGACAACTGAAATAGAGACAATAAAAAACACAATCTGAAGGAAGGCTGGAGATAGAAAAGCTGGGTAAATGGTCAGGTACTACAGATACAAGCATAACCAACAGAATACAAGAGATGGAAGAGAGAATCTCAGGTGTTGAAGATACACTAGGAGAAATTGATTCATCAACCAAAGAAAATCTTAAGCCCAACAAATCCTTAACACAAAACATCCAGGAAATATGGGACACCATGAAAAGACCAAACTTAAGAATAATAGGTATAAGAAGGTGAAGAAAACCACCTCAAAGGGGCAGGAAACACATTCAACAATATCATAGAAGAAAACTTTCCCAAGCTAAAGAAAGACATGCCAAGGAAGGTACAGGAAGCTTACAGAACACCAAATAGAGTGGACCACAAAAAAGCCCCCTCGCCACATAACAATCAAGACCCCAAATATACAGAATAAAGAAAGAATATTAAGAGCAGCTAAGGAAAAAGGCCAAGTAACATATAAAGGCAAACCTATCAGAATTACACCTAACTTCTCCATGGAAACTCTGAAAGCCAGAAGGTCCTGGATAGATATTCTACAAACACTAAGAGACCATGGATACCAGCCCAGATTACTATGCCCAGAAAAGCTCTCAATCACTATAGATGGAGAAAACAAGATATTCCATGACAAAACTAGATTCAAGCAATACATATCCACTAACCCAGCCCTACAGAAACTTCTGGAACAAAAACTTCAACCCAAGAAAGTTAACTACAACCAGAAAAACATAGGCATTAGATAATCCCACTTCACCAACAGCCAAAAGAACAAAGGGGCGGAATTCCACACATAATTCCACTACCAACAACCATTCCAAATCAAAGAAGAATGAGCAATCAATGGTCATTAATATCCCTCAATATTAATGTCCTTAACTCACCCATAAAAAGACACAGACTAACAGAATGGATGTGAAGACAGAACCCATCCTTCTGGTGCATACAAGAAACACACCTCACCCTCAAAAACAGATATTACCTCAGAGTTAAAAGTTGGGAAAAGATTTTCCAATCAAATGGACCCAAGAAACAAGTGGGGATAGTAATCCTAATATCTACCAAATTAGACTTTAAAATAAAATCAATCAAAAGAGATGAAGGAGGTCATTACATACTCATCACAGGAGAAATCCATCAAGATGAAGTTTCAGTTCTGGAAATCTATACCCCAAATACAAAGGCATCCACATTCTCAAAAGAAACATTACTAAAATTCAAATCACATGTAAAGCCCCACACACTTATAGTGGGAGACTTCAACATCCCATTCTCACCACTAGACAGGAATACTAGACAGAAACTTAACAAAGAAGCAAAGGGTCAATAGGAGTTATGACCCAATTGGGATTAACAGACGTCTATAGAACATTTCATCCACATAAAAAAGAATATACCTACTTCTCACCACCACATGGAACCATCTCAAAAATCGACCACATACTTGGCAACAAATGAATCCTTAGCAGGTACAAAAAAATTGGAATAACTCCATGCATCTTATCAGACCACCATGTGTTAAAATTAGAATTCAA